AAATAAAATAGATAGCATTTGAAAACAATTTTTTTCTCAACTAGGAGAAAGGAAAATTGCCTTTTGAATAAAGTAAGGTTTGGCCTGCTCAGAACTCAACGCTTCATGAGAAAACTTACAAACACAAGACTTCTCGGATGAGACCACTGAAAACCAACTGTTCAAGCCTCATAACTTCCACAGATTATAAACCTGAAAAATACTAATTTACCTGACAGATCTTAATATGCTAAAGCATGATGCAAGCCGTCAGTTATACCCCCTTCTCCTCATTGCTTTGCAAAGAGACATCTAACAGTTTTTTAAGGGAGAAGTCATCATTACTGTGCTTTTGCAAATCAAGTGGCTCAGCCAAGATGAGGAATGGACCTGAGCTCTGCTGAGCTCACAGAAGGAACTCTGTTCATGCACTAATGCTGCCGATGTTAACAAGCATATAGGTTTTATGAAATAACTAATTTAAAACATTCCGCAGCAATTCCTGCAAGTTACTTTAATCTGAAATACTCAAGGGCTGATTTTTAAATCTGAGTTTATTCTAAAATCCCACAGCTTTTAACTGCCTATGAGACAGAAACCTGAAGAGTACATACTCCTGCTATCTTGTGAGAACTTTACTAATTCAAAAAATTCATCAGTGATACCAAGACAGGGGAAACAGGACAAGGGAAACAACCAGCTACATAGAAAATAGCTCCTGTTTGTAATGATATTTTATGATTATTTTTTTTCTAAATAGTAATTATGCCATCAAACATCTGGATGCACTACCAGCATACGCATAAACCAACATGGTTTTGCACTTTCCAAAAACACAGGAGCCAATGCAACATGGAAATGGCAATGCCAGCACCAAAGAGCAGCTAGGAAAGGCAGCAGAACTTTAAAACATGTTACATGACAGTAGAGACAACCCATCCACTAAAGATGTAAAAAAGTTCTTAATAAATGATAAAAGGTTCTTAGATGATAAGCACAGACTACTACTTGCCAATTTGTGAAGTTTTGAACATAAGAACAAATTACACTAAAGCAACTTTAAAATAAAGCAGCAGAATATGATTTTCTGTTCTTTCACACCAGAAGCAGAGCTTGAAGATTGGTGTGGATGCTGACATAGGCAGTTGTGGAAGTAAAGGTCGTTTGAGGGACAGGAATGAGCCTGTGTCTAACAAAAAATCTGCAATGTGAACATGCATGGGGCATGAAATACATCAAACACCCAGCGTGTTTTTATGATTTTAGTGAAAATCTGAATTCATACCTTTCAAGCCTTTAAAGAATACACTAACTCTCCCTTCCCACAGTGGAAAATATTTATAATCTTCTACATAGGAAATAGTTCAAAAGCATTTTTTGCTCCTGATTTTTTTCACTTGGATTATACTGTCCTGTTGTATCTGTAGACAAAAGACTACAGTCACCCAAGTCCAGAGTACTTTCATAGGTACAATGGTATTCACTAAGCCATCTGCTTCATCTTGGGGCTACTGACTCTGACTGGCTACAACCCAACCCAACCTAACCCAACCTAACCTAACCTAACTCAACAAAATTAAACTCCTCCAATGAGCCATTGGCACCATTCATCTTCTCCCTAGTCCGGAAGCAGTCACAGAAAAGGCACTTCCCCTGCATTTGTCTTTTCATCTTACCTGTCCTGTGGCAGGTAAGATGAAAAAAATCTCAAGAATCCAACTGCCACTGCTACAGTGCCAACAATGAGGTATTTATCTCCTAGGTGAGAATGACGGTTTCATGGGAAATTCAGGGAATTTTCTTAATGATTTAATGGAAGGGAAAGATATCTGAACTTGTAAAATGCCATGGGAGATGAAGCTGGGCCACCAGAACACAAACAAGAAGTAACAAGTGGAGTTAAAAAATCATGTTTTGGGAGTAAATAAAAAATTATTTTAAGTTTGACAAAATTTTAGTTATGACAAGTAAGTATAAATAAATTTCTGGAAAAAATAAATAAAACTTTGCAGATTTGAGGTGTGAATAACCCTTGTGCATTTGCAGTAAGTAATTTATGATTAACCTATACCATATAAATTTTTCTTGTTTGCATTACACCAACTGCTGTCTATATATGTACACATATTACATCCCCCATCCTGTGCATCTAGGACTTACATCATCTACTTCCAGGTGTCTGCATAGCTGTACTAGTGAGAAAAATGGTGAGAAGATGGTGTTGTTTCTCCGGTGAATTTACACCAATATAGTGAGGGTTAACTTTCCTTTATTAGCATAACATTTGCTGGGTGTTGTTAATGAACATTCTTGAAGAAGGCAGGTGACTGAACACAGATGGTGGGGTTTTATGGATTATGATCATTGTTGTGGGTCAAATACATCTGTGCTGCAATCATAAAATTAATAACCTCTACAGCAGCTTTACATATGTCTGTCTTTTAGAAGAGTTCCACTTGTGTGACTCACAGCCTTTGGAGATGCTATTTGTAATTTATACCAAATTTGAAGTGCAAAGATTTTTCCCTCCCACAAGTCATGGTAATCAATAAGGGTCTGCACCTAGTACAGCCTGATGAGGTGAAGTGTGTAGCAATGATCAGCTGCACTGGGCAAACAACACGGCTCATAAACATGGTTTTGCAAAAGAAATCTCCAGTGGCCCCATTTCCACACCTATGCTGGGAGAGCAAATAAAGGAGGAAATAATTTTTTGTAAGGGTACCATCCCTGCTTAGTGTTGCAAACTAAATTAATTGCATATTTGCCTCAGAACTCCAAAGAATCTTGAGGGATTTTGGCGCGTTACCTGGATTTTAGGCTTCTGCCCTCTAATTCATAACATATCAAGACTTAATGTGGGATACTATGAAGGCCCTATATCATGGAAACTGGCAATTTAAGACTAAATATTAATTCAAAAAAGGCTCTGCAGATGTGAATTACACTGAATTTAGCTACACTTAATAATATTACACTTTCTGGGACTTAACCTCAGAGATGTCACTAGAGGGACTGTTTGAGATTAATGATCATAAAGCTGCATTTCACTCCCTGCTTAACCCCCCTCCATATTACAGCAGACGGCAGCTCTGCCTGGAAATGCACAGTACATGTCCCTTGCTTCCTAACTCTTCTGAACAGCACCGCCCAAAATCAGTCACGGGTGATGCTCAGGATGCAAGGGCAGCAAGCCAGTCACGCGGCACAGAATTCCAGACAGGCATCAGGTGGGTGAGGCAGCGAAGTGAGGTGCAGGCAGAGCGAAGCCAAAGGCAGATAAGACGAGAAGGCATGTTGTGTGCTGGCATGTGCTGACCTCTGCCAACAGCTCTCCTGACATCCCTGTCTATGGGAGTCAGACATGAATATCAGTGTGGGAGGTGGGTCTGCCAACACTAGGAGGGAGAACTCAAAAGTCTGGGATGAATGTGAAGGGAAATACTAAGTTCACAGTAAGGGAAAAAAAACCCACTCCAACCAAATAAATCCGTTAGAGCGGCAGATATTTACTTTGGGTTTGCCTGTGTGACTGGTGGGCCCCATTGCTGAGATCTGGCTAGAGAAAGCTCAGTGAGACCCAGCAGTCAGTGCAATTAGAACAGATAGGGTTTCTTTGTCCTGGAGAAACTGCAAATCATGTCCTGCTTTACAGCCACAGGGAAAACACATCAGGACACAAAACAACTCAAAACCCAGAGTTTTTATGCTAATCCAGTTTTAAACATCCAATTACTGAGTGGTAAGGTTTCTAACCATTCGATTTAAATGCTGCACTAACTAAATAAGCTTCATTTGGGAGACCATATTTATTTCAAAACAGGGACTCCACTACTACCCTTTAAAAAAAGAATACAACAGGTAACTCCAAAGCTGTATCTTCAAGATGACACAGTCACTTCAATGTTGAAGAAACAATTTATGATTTCCCCACCAGCCAGAGGAAAAATAAACCCCAAAACCCCCATCAAAAGACAGAAAACAATGCATTTGCCTTGTATTTGCAGATGCAATTTTCACTTCAAAATACAATCCTGATCTAATAACTGATCTTTCCATGTGGAGTTTTCCAGCAAAACCAGTGCTGCAGACTGGAAAAATCAAGAACAATCCCTTGTGTCATGGTAGAGTTTTTTTTGCCAAACATTTAGTAGTTCTAAAGAAAACTCATTTTTTTCTATCTAGAAAGAAGGTTAAACCTTGGGAACTGGGAATAGAAACAGTAACTGCCACAAAAGTATATTTGGAAGTGCAAGAGAGATTAAATATTTAAATGAGTTTCAAAATTCAGTGGTTCAAATTATTTTCTTTTTCTTACATCAAGAACCTCAGTTTTGATTTTTTCATAAAATTAGAACAAAATAAAAAGAAGTTGTCAAGGTAGTTTCTCTCTGCAGAATCACTGAACTGGAGTTAGTAATCTTGCATTAAAATTATTAGTTATTCCCACAGCTGGCCTACAAATACTACATTAAAAAAAGCATGAAGAAAATCACTTAAATACATTTGAGATTTCTTTTGTTGATGGCCGAGCATATGTCTTAATACTTATTGCTCCATTTTGGTTTAATTAGTCTAAACCACCATAGGCTGAACTTTGTCAAGCAATTTTAAAGCAAAGTGTTGACACATTAGAGAGAAGACTTCATTGTAAAAGCAAGGATTGAGGCAGAAGCTGAAATTTGTCTAAATAAGACCAATATCAATATGCACAAATGAACAGACACCTAAAGTTTGTCAGGTACTGCTCATAAAATCCTGCAATGAGATAACATAAAAACTATCTCTTGTAGACGGGAGTTTAGAGAGGAGCTGATATGTGAACACTTGAGGAAAACTTGCGCTGTGGCTGGAACATTTCCTGTTAGTCTGAGGATAAAGGAAACACTACAACCACAATATTAAACTAAGAAAACTTTTTTTTTTTTTCTCAGTTGTGAAAAGTGAAGAGTTTATGAGTGACTAAAAAGCAAAGACCTTGAAGTCAACAAAATTCCTATGTGTTTTATAATGTTTTACAGGTCCAGAATGACAAACACTTCACATCAGTGTCTCTGCAGCCATTATTGCTACTTTCCACAGGAACCAAATGAAGTTTACAGTGCAAATATTCCACATTCTCATGGGTTTCAGAATTGCTCTTCCAGACCTGCATTCAGACACAAACTGAAAGCCTACAAGACTCCTCCGAGGAAGGATGGCTGAGGGGACAGGACACTGTAAATGTAGGGTTTGCTCTCCTTTGTGAAGCTGGGGAAAGCAGCAGCCAAGCAGCTCAGGAAACTTCATACCAGGCTGAGGTCTATGCATCTTGGCATCTGCAGTGGGAGAATGGCTAGGAAAGGTCTGGGAGCAATGGGTATGGTCAAGAAGATTTACTGCTTTTTATTTCAAAGAACTCACACCCCAAGGCAAACCTGATTCCATGCTAAAATGTCTTCAGCAGAACTGAACTGCAACAGCAGCTCCTCTGCAGGTGCAAGAGGAGCAGTGAAGCCTGCTCACCAAGGTCATACCTTCTCCAGCTGCAGAAACCTTCAGAAATCAAGAGCCTTGGTGTGAAGGACACCCTGCCCCACGCTGCACACTGAGAAGGTGCTCCTGCTCTTTCACAGGATAAATGGGACATGTAAATCCACTTGTGGTAGAAACGGCGCATCCCATCTACTACTATGGCAACAGGTGGAAGCATTAGGATTTGCCCTGCAAGCCTAGGAGCAAGGATGCTGGTAGGAAACAAGTTTGCTACTGTTCTAAATTAAGAATAACGTCATGTATCATTTTCATATTTTCTGCCCAGGAGATACTAAGGATGTGCATTGAAGGAATCCTACTGCTTAACTTGTACAATGCTGACTGGGCTGTACTTCTAAAATGCATGTAAGTACTTAAATTATGTTTCACAACAAAAGAGATTCAGTAAAAACTCCACAAAATCCCACAAGAAAATTGATAAAATAAATCTGTTACATACTTAACAAATCAACTAGTTGCAACAGCTTTGGTATGGCCTGAGAAGTACTGAAATCAAATGGTTCCTTATGGCATCCATTACCTAAGGGGGATTTCTGAAATATGAAAAGCAGATTCTTTATAATTGAGTTTCATATCCCAAATGGATCACAGAGGAATTCCTATTGGACTTTTGTGTATAACGCAAGCAAGTCCTCTGTAGTTTGGGATCTCAATAGTTCCCTTTAAAAGAGCTTGTTTTCAGTTGTTTATAAGTTTTGCCAAGCTAAGTATTTGGGATGAAAATTCCCCGGTTCTGTCTCTGCCTTAGGCTGATTATTATTATTTTTTTACATTTCAAGTGAGAGGATTTAGTCACTTCAGGATAAGACTGAAGGAAAACATATTTTGGCCCTGCTGGGAGGAATAAAAAATGAAACAAACAAAAAAATAAAAAAAAAGGTCTTAAAAGAATTTTGCTGAGTAGCTCCTCTGTATTCTTCACAGTTTGAAATTTGGAAGGCAAGGTCCCTGGTGTCCTTTTGTAACTCCCATGAAAAAACAGCCAGCTTTTTGCCTAGTCACAAGACTTTGTAAAAACTCATTTGCATATGCTCAGCAGAGTCCCCAGAATCTGTAAGTCTAAGTGGCCAAAGATTCCTCTGAAGATGCTGTTAGCCCAGAGTCGACAGGGCTAAGGCAGACTTTTTTTTTGCCACTGCTGCTCCCAGATGTTGCAGTCTAATGTGGCATCAGGCACAGGAATTAGGTGCAGACAGCACTCTATCCTGGGCTCCAAATGCAGGCAGAACAAGGGGAGAAGGGAAAAAAAGCAGCCTAATGTAAGTAGAGAGAAGAACTAGTCCATGGGTAGTACATGAATGAGTGAATCAAGGCATGAGGTTGACTGTGTAAAAAGATCAAAGAGAAGTGGCATAGGAACACCAAGGAAAGTGAACACCCCTCCAGGAGAGGGAAAGACTTTGAAAAGCAGGGAACTGGCTGCAAAGAGAGGTTAGGAGACAGACTGGAGGGACAGCACAGTCTGGACACAGCAGGGACAGGTAAGCAGACATGGAGGGGAGGAGAGGCACAATGGCACATGACTCTCATGACTCTCCAGCCTAGGTAAGAGCTGCCTTATGGGAGCCTCAGTCTCTCCAGGCAAAGACAAAAGTGCCAATGCTTCATTCTCCCTTGGCTGTGGGTCACTGAGAAGGTGACAACCTATTGCACTAATACTGTCAGCACCTTTACCTCACTTTACCATGCCGTGTGTCTGAGCTCAAACTCCATGTCTGAAATCTCCACCTCTGCAACTGACCTGCAGCCACAGAACATCACACGATAAAATTGCCTTTCTTAGTCTTATTGCGGTTGAAGAAAACAAATTTCACACAGAAAACTCTAACAGGAGAATAATTGAAGCATGCATGCTGAAGAGACAAGTTAAGGACATTCACTTTAGTCAATGTCAAAATGGTTCAAGCAAAACTGAAGGGGGATGGTGCTTAATGTTGCTGCTTTGGTACAGCTTGTGTTGACCTTGCAGAGAGTGTTATGCTGCCTTTGAGGATCACTTGTGCATTTCTCCACCAGACGCCTCTGTTGACCTGCAGCTATTGCCTAGGAGTAGAGAGAACTGGTCCAAACAGATGAGGCTTTTGCAACAAAATGTGAAATAACCCAATTTCAATGCAGTACAATGAGAAAATGAAGGAGAATGTAACACAGTTTGAATATGGGAAACTCCTGTAATACATTGTTGTGAAATGTATATTGGCTATTACAGGGCAGTGAAAGAAATTGTAAGCATTTGGATAAAAACCTCCAGGTGTTTAAAGTAAAGACTAATAGCTATTTTAAAAAGTATCAATAAGGAATTAATCTCATTAACAGAAAAAACTTTAAAGAGCCCTAAGCTCCAAGGAGGATTTTTTGAGCATCTATAGACACAAGTCTCACTGTAAGCAGCTCACAGCTGAGCTGACTCTCTAATCTCTGCTGGTGGAAAGACATTGCTCTTTCTCATACATTCAAAGTTTCCAGGTCACCTAAATTCCCAGCAGCCAAAGAAGTGCAAAGCGTCCCCTAATGGTCTTTCTTATAAATCTACCTGATGGTAAATGCTATTTTAATCTGAGTGTGTAGTTGCATTATGAAGTTGTGATCACATATAAGAGGTAATACAGAAATAATAGTTTGTTATGGAAACATAGATGAGGTACACATGAAGGAACTTGAAAGCCACACAACAAGGCCACTGAAAGCTTTATGTTTCTATTATTTAATTCTTTCCCGAGATGATAACTGAGAGTAATGTGAAGACATGAGTCCTTTAATGATCCAACAGGATCCCCTGCTGCAAACATATAAGTGAGGTGACTTTTGTTTCATAGCAGTCTGTTGTTCTGTTTTCCCACCTGTTAAAAATAAACCTTATTTAAGACAAAAAATTACTTTGCAAGCCTACCCGCAACTTTTTCTTAGGGTGATCCACAGTCCACCAAAAATCTCAGATGCATTAGCATCTAAACTAGCAGAGAGCAGAGTAACACTGGTGACAGGCTGAATGTAGCAATTCCAAGGGAAATCACAGGTTGGCTCAGTCTGGAGGATGCACAAGCCCTGCTGTGGTCCTGCAAATCTAGTGGTATAAGAAAGGATCTACAGAGCTGCACTCGCTGCAGGGGATAAATTGTTTTGAAGGAATCAAAACAGGTAGGTGTACAAAAGTGTGAAGTACAAAATGTTTGCATCTTGCTTATGCTCCAGCCTGAGCTTCAGCTGGTCTTTCACTGTAGCATAACTCAATTAGACAATCAGAAGTTTAAATATTTCATATATTACTAGAGCTAAGAATGGCTGGTCACTAAAAGCAATATTATTCTGTAATAATATCACATGCATTTGTAGACTCATCTCTGCAGTTTGTTTCTGTGGCTTTAGATAACAGTTACTTTGTATTTTTTTTTGACATTTGGTTAACAGAACAGTGATAAAGAAAATGAGTAAATGAAAAAACTGTATGAAGAATCATGCAAAAGATCATAAATGGCAGATAAAAGTATCAGCAATGGCAGTTTTAACAAGTATCTTATAGGAAAGAACACAGCATCCAAATTTTAACTTTGTATGATATATGATGCTATGACATATATGAGTTACTTATTTTGTAATGACAGCCATGTATGGTTTCTTTTCCTTGTGTCAGCTGCTAGCACATACACTTCTGTGCTAATATGACAGTATTCTTTGAATGAGACAAAAAGGAATGATGACAGAGCTACTCTGCAGCAAGCAGAATCAGTTACTCCCTCAGCTGATCTAATTGATCAATTTCAAATCCAGCAAATCTGCTAAGTCCAGTCAAGTCATAGAAGGCTTTGTTTCAAATATGAAATATGTAACAAGCCAGGCAAATTATGAAAGCATTAATACATCCAAAGAAGAAATCACCTTATAAACATCAACGTTCAGTAATATACTTAAGGCAATTACACTGCTCATGCAACATGTTATCATTTTGATAACACTACACAAGCTGCACACTATTATCCATATCTGGCCCAGTATTTACCAACTACTGTTTGTTGCTCTGTTTGCTAGTGCCATATCACAACATCCATCCCGGGTTTGGCAATGACAGATGTTGCTATATCTACTCTCAGCAGGGTCTTTTGCTTAGCACCACAGGATGCTCTTACCTTGGCTCTGTACAGTACACAAACTGGTGATGCAAAAATCCCAGTTCTTAGTGGCTCTGAAAAGGTATAATGTTATAACACCTTGATTTATTCCAGCAGACTCTTAACCCATGCATTTACCAGTACAATTTAAATTTCCTGACACAAAAGGGAAGAAAGATGCTCTCTCTTCCAACAGGGTCTATGTGCAGATGCCCCAGCAGTTAGTGCTTTGGTGTATCAGTCTCTCAATTATTTGCCCAAAACTTTCCAAATACTAGTCCGATTTTCAGGACAAGAACTTTTCTACTCCCTTTCTCTTGAATGCAAACTGGGCACTACCCCAAACATTTATTTCTTAAAATAACAATATCCCATCTGTTTAACTATCTAAAGTGAGAAACTCAGCAGATAACCCATTATATAATGTGGAATGCGCATAAGACATGAATTAGTTTGCTGAACAACAGTTACTGGGATTTACTAATGTTTTTGGGTTTCTCAAATTCTTCCTCTTCAAAATATCTACCTCCAAAATTTAAATGATGTCATTTAGCACAGAAGACTAATTGGCAGGCTTCTCAGGGAGTAGGCAGGTAATGGTGAGTTTTCTTTAAAGGGCTCATGATACATATGCTAATTTAAGACTATCTTTACTTAATGTGGATAAAGAACGGGAATAATACTGTGAAGAATCTGAAGCCAGAATAAAAATAAGACTAAAAGAATTTAGCTTCTCACTTTTTAAAGATAAATACCTGGGGAAAAAAAGTCTTTCATTTCATAAAATTGCCAGCTTTGCAATCCATACAGGCCCCCTTACAGCCTTTTCAAAGAAAATAAAGATAGATCATTGTGCAAGCAGCAACATAAATTTCTGCTGTGGCACTTTTGCTAAGAGGAATGTTTGAGTTATGATTTGTAACAAGCTTGAGCTATGAAATTATGAAAACCTGGCACTTTCACAAAGCCCCATTAACAAAAAAATAAAGCACATCAAGTAGCAGTGCTTAAAACCAGCCTTACACATGACGTGGTTCATAACTCTAGGGATCAAATGTTCTATGGATCACTTGAGATTTGACTCCATCACCTGGAGGCTTGAAGTTATGGGTCATGTTACTGCATGATGTAAATATTCCCCTTCAGACCCATCTGTTTCCTTTTATGATATTAAAAAATAAACACACCAAAATTCTTGAACAGTTATTACATGTCTCATATTCTTTTAGGAGGAACAGGCCAAAGTCAAGCTTGCTGAGCCATACCCCAATCAGAATCCCCATTTTATAGATGCAAGTAGCTAACATTAATTACTTCAGTGTGCCACACTGTCACAAAGGGGCATTCTAAGTGTTAAGGTTGTATGCAGGGCTATCAAAGATTCATACAGAAATGTACCAACATCCTTCATATAAAGCTAATCAAATTTGAAATTACTGACATGTCACCTTGAGGAGGAATTTGACTTATTATTTGCAAAGTAATGCAGAAAGCAATGAGATGCACAGCTATAAGAATTACTCTTATACTGACTTCATCTTAGTTTTTGTTGTTGCTTTTGTGCCTGCCCTAAACAATAATAAACAACAAAACTGCTCTTTGTGCTGTTAAATTGCATGAAGGTGAAATAAGGTTGCTTAGAAGTGCGTGGCTGCGCAAGAGTTGTTTGCCATCAATTAATAATATGTGACAGAAAGCACCAAAAACTTTCTTCTTTGCAATCGTCCCATACTCAAGGGGGAATGTTGCCAAAAGTCACATCAGTTCCATGACCTTCCTTGCATCTTTCTGGGCAGCAGGACCTCATGCAGTAAGATCAGATATCATGCAAATAGCAAGCAAGTTTTCAAATGTCACTAAGTTTAACTGCATACATAATTTGTAGCATATTAACTCATTTGTGTTCATAAATCACAACACTGGTGAACACAAGCCAGGCGTTGCGTATGCAGTTCTCAGGCACAAATGAACAATAAGCACCTGAAAGTCTGCCTCACCTAAAGTTTTACATCAAACATGTGAATTGGCTTCACAAGATAATGACAATGTAGGATCTCCCTCAAAACACAAAGCTGGCCAAGTTCACTGCAGCATTTATTCACCGTGTTTTAACACACAGTGCCCATGCATGCCATAGACTGAGCTTTAGCAATGACATTTGCTCTTTGTTGTTATGTATAGTTCTATATGCATAAGAACACATGTTTATGGCACAATATAAGCAAGAATTCCACATTTGTGATCAGCTATCCTGGTAAGTAAAAGACTATGTGTACAAACAAATCTGTTCACTACCTTCAAATATTTTTGTCATATAATTATATCTTGTAAATATCTTCACAGATGTATAAAATATATTCTTAGGAAATTTGCCATAGAATGTTGCTGCTTATATTAAGGAAATGTTGTGTTTGTGTACTATGCTCCATACTTACATACATGAAGCATATTTGTATACTTACAGAACTGCCAAATATTTCAGTTCTGTTACTATACTAACACATTAGTATTACTGAAAAAATATCCTTCCACTAACTCTCCTAAGTCTTTTTGAGACTAGGGTACCAACATATCTTTCAGAAAATGCGTTTTTATACTGATAAGGCTACATCAAACTAGGACTAAGGATACTACACATCTAGGTAGGCTTGCAGCTAAGAACCCAGCTTTTATCTATCCAATTAAACCAGGACTTATTCAAACTGTAGCTTTCACTGCTACCTCCATTACCTGCTATCTCCTAGTGCCGAACACTCCACATAAACTACTACTACTAAACCTGCCATTTCCTCATAGCAGCCCATTTTGGGTATTATCAGCTAAACTCTTAAACCAAGTTACCAAACCTTTCCTTTCCCAGATAGTGTACACATGCTAGGATGTACAACATTCTTTCTTGTGTTTTACCACTAAACCTGCAGCAGGCACCGGAGATGCCCCAGATAGACCAATAAAATGGAACTGGAAATTTGTGCAGAAGAAAGCAAAATAAGATTGTGAACTATGGCTTTTTACCATATTCCAAATTTCCTTTTTAACCCTGGCCTTGGTAATCCATAAAAGAAGCCAAAAAGTGCACTTTCATACAGATGGCTTTGAAAACATCTGCTTCAAACTTCATCAATAAGATCAAGAAGAAACTCAGATTCTGGAAATGTGAGGATTTTCAAATTGCAATTTCAGTAACTAAAAGAGTAACAAGGGATGTGAGGAGAATTTCAAAATATTAGCATTAACAACTTTCTTTTTTTAGACAGGTTCTGTCTGGCAAATAAAGCTGTTAAGTGATTCCAGTAGCATCAATATTATACAAAAAAATGGGATATCATTAATAACAATGAAGAACAAAAGAATTCTCATGGGAGATATAAAATGCATGCGCAACAAGTTAAACCCTCACTCTCCTAATCCAGTCTGAGCCATTTAATTTCTAGGGTTTTTAAAATATGTTAAAAGGTTTGCTTTTTCCCCCCACAAAAACCTTTTAAGAGGCATTCATAACACTGTCACAAAAGTAGAAAGCTGGCATAGATAACTTTGTCTACTTGCTATTGAAGGGAAGGATAGGCCTGATGCCTAATCTGAAGCTGACCTAATAGATAAAACCCTTGGGGTCTCAAATTTGCATTTCATAAGCTTAATATTCTGCCTGATTTATGATTTGCCTTCTTAAACAAAGAATGATGTACTTAACAACTTTACTTTTGTATGGTTAACTGTTGATCTGAAAATGGCACATAAAATACATTTACATCAGCACTGCCTAATAGGCCCATAATGATTCTTTATTATGCTTCAGTGAAAGGCAACTGAGTGACAAGTAACTGATTTTGTAGATCAAATAACTTTCTGCCACCCCCACACAGCTCCCAGCTGCCGCACACTTTATATGCCAATACAAATACAGTTGTAAAGTAGACAAATATATTATAACTATGTTATTAAATGAGACACAACACGGGGTGTTGCAAGTATTTGAGAGCTGTTCAATGCCGTGACTGGGAATTACAAGCATGCAAAATCACACACTAAAGGGGCTTCAGTTCAAAATTACTGCAACCTTCCCTCTGTTACTTTTTTATATATAATTTTAGAAGTGATTTTGCTCAGATAATAATTTTTTTTTTCTCCTGTAGAGGGCTGAAGAAGCCTGGGACATGCTCCCCCTATGTAGAAGAGGTATTTAAAGCAAAGCATTTCAGTATAAAGACAGCCGTCCTGTCTTTATAGACAGCAGAACTCCTGCTATTGAAAGGCGATGGTGATGACATCATGCACCTGAAAACGCACACGTGGCTGAAATGCTGTAAAAGGCTCCTGTGTGCCAAATTTTATTTTTATGTATTACCCTGAAAGTAAATAATGGTAAGACATCAGAGCCTGTCTGATAATCTTTGACAACAACCCTAACCCTGTCATTGTGGCCATGGGAGAAACCAGCACACACTCAGCTCTGACCCAGTGAGCCTTTTATCTGTGTGTGTCTCCATGGACCAAGCAAATAAAGGGCAACTGGTAATTTACACATGAATCAACTTTCTTGTCAGAGCAGGCACCAGAGACGTCCCTTTTCTCTACCACAGCGAGGAAAAGCATCCAGGTCTGAGCTTGTCTCTCCAGACATCATGCAAGCCGAAGAGCGATGCATTGGGACATGGTGTGTTGGCAGAGGTGTGCTCTTCTGGACACCAGATAAAAAATGGCATCCGCAAAGAAGCAGATAAATACTGGCCTTGAAACAGGACTGACAGCAGTGAGCCTTTGTCCTATTCAAAACATGCAATGTCATACAAACTGAAGCCAAGATACAATCCCGATAGAAGATTATACAAGATACCTGAGTGGGTATCTGTAAGGAATTCAGCCTACATTTTAATAAGGTGCAATGCCTCAGGTTTCATTTCCACTTTCCTGCAGCTGCCTTTTGAAAAGATTGTTTTGGGCTTGCAAGACACTGGACGTGGATATGCAATAGCACTGGTAAAATAATCCACAAACTTGATTTGTGATGAAAATCAGCCTAAAACATTGCAGTGAGAAAGTCATCTGTAAAGATAAAGCAGTGCTTGCCTTCAGCTTATATCTCATTATGAAGAGAAACTTTTATCGGTCCACAGGCACCACTCACACTCTCTTTCCCACAGTGAAAAGCAGTGAAGCATGGTACAGCACAGTTCCATCGAATAGTCAAGCTCTCAAAGGCATTTCTGTAGTTTAAACCACCAAAATCATCATACTGCTATAAAGCAAAGACAGATGTTTTATTGCTAGATTTGGCATTTTATACATGCCTATTTCTGACAAGTTTTTGTGCACTGTAACAACCACTCTGCTATTGCAGAGATTTTTCTCTGCATTCTTGAAATGGAAAGGATGATGCAGACTGCCACAACTGAAAATCTTGAATTAAATGTCAGAAGTTTGGTAACCCAGCACTACAATGCTTCCTTCTCAGCATCAGCAGATTAGGTCCCTCCACTGATAGATTCCTGAGGAAGGCCTTCTGGAGGCAGTGACTCTTGCTTGCAGCTGATTTCAGAAAGACATATTTTCCTTTCCCTGGTCTTTTTCCACCCTACCATCGATGCTATTTCCCTAAGCCCCATTGATCACTCTCTTGTCTCCATTTCTGTCACTTGTGCTAACATTTGCTTGGAGGGGCCAGGGCAGATTAGAAAGGTAGGGATGAAACTGCCATCACTGCCCGTCCTCCAAGCAACTCTTAACAGCTGTAGGCACCAAACAAACACGTAATATATAGCTATTTAAAATAAGAAAAAATAAATTACTATAGTTACTGATGCCATATTTTGCCTTCTCTGAACCTGAAATGTAAAATAAAACTTAGTGTTTTTCTTCTTTTAACCCCAAATAAATTTCCTGGTTTTTACAATTCCACATTTCTTCAGTTGTTACCAGCCTGTCTTTTGTTTAACACTTACCCAAACTATATTCATTTGTGAGGAAACTTATAGCACACTTCTTTCCTTCCTAAAATGTATGAAAATACAGATAAGGTTCAAGGAATTGATTTCATATTTCCAAAAGAATTTCCGTAAGATAGGCATGTCCCCGATGGACAAAACAGGCCTCACTACTGAATCTCACTTTTCTAACATTTACATTGTGATATACAGTTTTAGAATGATATGGGTTGGAGATGCATTCATTTAAAATTAATGACAATACAGCTGATATCAGATCTGAGTTTACTAGCGTGGTGCATTTTCTGTGAGCACCAACTGACTAGACGTCAATGATTTTTGAACTACATAGTGAAGCCAATTAGTTCTAAGAAATAAAGTGTTACTTCTCTCTAGTGTCATACTAAGTGCTAGCAAATGAATTATGCTGCTGCTAAGCATGTTGCCATAAGCCAGAACATAACTACAAAGACTTAATCAACTTGTAAAATTTACATAAGCATAGTAAGAAATGAAATCTTGGAAAGAGTTGCATTTATGTTGCTGAATATATGTCTTCTGTTGCTAAATATATGTCATATATGGTCATACATCAATGACCATCTTTAATGGTCATTGAAAACAAAGGTAAAAATCCAATATAAAGTGCATGGTCTTTTCACTGACATGAAAGGCTCACTTTGTCTGCCACTGTTACGTAAATCCTGTGTTACACCTCTAACACCATTCTCACCTGATTTGTTAAAGCCAGCACTGATACCCATGCTCACTGTGACTAGTGACTATATACTCCTCCTGAGTGTGACTATCAAGACCTTTCCTCAGATTTTAGAGCTTTGATCATACACTCTTGGTTCTTTCTTCAGCTCTGATTTCTTGATCATGTCTCACATAAGGAGATTTTTTTACTTTCAGAGTTCAGACACTTCCTTTATGCTGATAAATTTAACACAAGGAAGAACACTGAACACTGAATCCAGCTGGCATTGAATGACCTGTGCCTGTCCCCAAACTAGACTTCCCTCAGCCCCAAAACAGCGTGCTAGCATCCAGCTGCCTCTGGAGAACAGACCTGGGGAAATCCTCACTCCAGAACTGGGTGTAAAGAGCATCCCTTGGTTACGGGTACAGATGCACTAGCCGTTTTGTGAGGAGCACAAAAGCAGAGGCAACCACAAGGGCTGTTCTCAGGCACTTTTACTTACTAACTCAGACATATGTGAGCTTCCTGTCTCCTGCCCAATCTCATTTCAAACTCACTCCTGCTTGCAGACAGCTCACCCAAGTGCAAGTTTTCTAAGTGTTAAGTTCTGCAATCTTTTTCCAAAAACTTCTGCAGACCCACTTGATGAACTTCCTTCACGTTCCTCAATAAAGATCTCCTTTGCTGAAATGCCTGCAAAGAATGAGAATAATTAGGCCATTGGTCCTCTTGACAAACATTGTCACACCATACAGTGGTGTTTTGTGGCTTTCTTGTTTTCCAGATTTCAGGACATGAGGGGACTTGGCACAGTGCTTGCAGGGCGTACAGTTACCAGTTTTCAGGGAAGTGCTCATGCTAACAAATATGTTAAAAGCACCATGCTAAGGTCAGGGCAGACCCATTGCATGTACTAGTGCCAAGCTGAACCAGGCATCATGAAGCTCTGCCTAATACCCAGTGTCTTCCCTTAACAAGACGAGCTGAAAACTTCTTGAAAAACACTGTCACCAGCTTTACACCATCAACACATCACTGTGGACACCTGCTTTGGTGGCTTACCCCATTTTGTTGGTGCTGCCCAGAAATGCCATTTGCAGGCAGCTACAGAAGCTCTGAACTTCTACCCGCAAAGATGGACAACAGCAGCAAGAAAGGAGGCTGACATTTTGTTTTCACAGTCAGGACACATTAAATACTGACAGCCCTCCTTGGTATGTACGTTCAGAGTGAAAGGTACTGTTGCCCCTCTCCAGGCACACAACCTTATGGGTTTTTATTTTCCATCCTTGGAATGTATGTTCTTGATTTGCCTTCACTTGCTTTGACTAGTTGAAGGGATGGTGTACTTTGCTGTTTCTCCTTTTGCAAAAAAGCAGAGCCTGTCTCAGGGAGCACAGATGCTCTGCAGGAAGAGAGAGGTAGGTCCCTTACATTTATGCTAAACAAATCAGACACCTCCATTACAAATCTGATTTCACTGATGCTTATCAGTGATGCTGGAGCACAGCGATGTAGTACACTTTCCAAGTGTCCTCATTAGCTTTATTAAGTTTCTTTTGTAGCAAGAAAATGGCCAACTTTCTCACAGAGTTCAGATGTAGCAAATATCTCTTGCCGGTGCTGAGGGGCTAATGCACAAATATTCATTCCAATGTAGAATACACTAAGGCCATATTCTGACTACAAGTGACATGGTCTTATTTTCTCTTAATGTCTAATTAAAATCCAGCAGTGGACTGAATTAACTTGGTTTGCAAGGGAGTCCAATTATGAACTTCAAGATGGAAGGGCAATGAGATGGCATCCAAACATTGTTAAAAGAGCAGGTGAATGCTATCTGTGAAACTCAGTAACTTCCTTAATCACACAATCCACAAATAAAAATACATTTAAATGTTGAAGTTTTAGAATTATATGGGTTGGATATGCATTCATTTAAATTCATTTAAAGAACATTCTGAACAAGTCTAGGAGAAGCCAGAGGACCTTGGCACCACCATGCCCAGAGCTCCCAAGCACATCCTTCGGGCAGAACTCAGCTCATTAACACAACTGCTCCCTGGACAAACCCTAAATACACAGATAAAAGGACTTCTGAGCTATCCTCTGAAGCTGAAGAAATCTACTTCCACCAGTGACAAACTCACTTGTGGGATATGACTGCCTAAACCAATTACATTTTAACATCACTGCTCCTCTTACCTGGCTATGGTCTGATTCAGCAGCTCAGTTAAACAATTTCCAAGCCAGGAAGAAATAGGACAGGACTAATAATAAGAAAAAACAAGCAGAATGCAATTCATAACTTGGATGAGTTAATCAGAACATTAAATATGCTACGTAATGCTGCATTCCCTGTAAGGAATAACTTGAGACAGTACCTGGGTCAATAAAACGTTTGCAGGAGACCTTCCGCACAATTGTACTGTTAAATTTCCTGACAAAAGACTTCCGTTGTTTCTTTGATTACTTCCATTGATAACTTTTGTTCTTTGTCAACCCTTTCTACTCTGCCTTTCCAGCTGAGATGAGAATAGTCACTAATATAAAAATAACATATCAAGAAGAAGACATAAATTTTTTACATATATTTTTTTTCTGTCAGAGCTGACATATATAACCACCATGATTTGGACAGTGTAAAGTGCTCTTATATCACTGCAGCTATCATGACCTGCTCAGGTTCACTTCTGCAGCATACACAGACCTTCTCTGCATATACTGAACCTACTGCTGACCCCTTCTTCACACAGGTGTCTACACAGTGATGGTACTGCAATTCCTAAGAAGTGGAGAGTAGTGGAGCTGAAAACACACATGGGGACCAACTGCAGCTGGTAGCTGTCCTGGGTAAAAAAAGCTGCAGAAATGGTGTATGCAAACCCCGTCTTGGAAAAGAGATATATTTTTGCATGTCAGGATAACAAGATCATCATATAGAATTGCACACTTGCAGATGTGCCAAGCTAGATATGTTTCTCTTTTTAATAAGGATTGCTGATCTATTTAAAGAACATGTCTCAGGCTAAGTATTTGATGAATGACTTGGAACTTTATTTGGATTCATGGAATTTGATTAACTACATTTTCCTGTCACTCAGGTAAGTATTTCTATTAATTTTATTCATATTTTTATTTTATTAATCTGTGACCTGCCACCAAGAATAAACATGAAATAGGGATTTGCTCAAGTTTTAGCCATTTAAAGTATACAAATCTGTGTCTCTCACATGCATAATCTCTCCCTTCTGTATAGACAAATTATGCAAAACACAAACATTTAACTATTAATAACTTATTAGGAGACCACAGAGAACATGATTTAAACCTCTATGTTAAATATTATTTTAAAGAAGACAAAGTTATTTGCGTGACAAAATCAGACAGCAATTTCTTTATAATTAGTTCAAAGAGAAAAATATTTACATTTATTTTTATTTAGATGTTAGCTGAAAACATCACATTAAAAAACATCTGTTTGTAGGACCAGCAGTAAAACATTAATATCTGTTCCTGTATCAGAGTGCACTCCAGGCTTCAAATAAATCCCAACATACATTCCACTTTCTTTATTATTCCCTGCAATTTTTTTTCTATACTGAGTAATTTTATTAAAATGAAATTTATACTTTAGGAATGCAGCAATTTGAAATATTGGCATCTAAAGGGCTTCTTAGACAGTATTACTTGTTTGACACTGAAGGTTTTGTTTTGGTACAGAATATAAAACCATTTCCTCAAGATATTTTGTGTTCAACATAAAATATTAAAAATATCTCATTCCAAGAGGTCTGGTGGGAGTTCATGACAGATGCGTTGCATATTTTTTAAAAAAACTTTTTGCAGCATTGTTGTGTCTAATTAGCCCTGATGATTTACCCATGACAGTATGAACTTCTTGAGAGGAAAGTGGAACATAATCTTTGGAGCAGAGAACAAACATGTTTTTGGAGAAATGGGAAGCAGCAAAAGCACTGACTTGAGGTGGTTTATAACAAATGCCCCCAAGAAGTCCTATGAGTTTTCACTTATTTATGCACCACCATATGATCCATCATTTTGCCTTCTGTGCTACAAACCAGGCTCCCCTCATGCATCTCAGTTGTTGGCTTTGCAATCATGTCACTGTTCCTGTCTGTGGCTGACAACTAGTTACAGAGGACCAACAACCATGGACGAGCAAAAGGCGAACCTAAAAGCCTCTCATGGATGAGGAGAGGCACCACTGATCATACACCACACCCCCTCCAGGCCACACTATTGAGATTATGGGAGAATCTAGGAACCAAAATGTGAACTGTCCCTAAAAATCTTTAGTTTTGTTGGCAGGGATTCTTTCCTGTTTGGGCCCTGTGCAAAAATACCTTGTCAAAAATTTTCTGAAGATGCAGAGTTTATCAAGATAGCTTGCAGCCGTGGGACCAGCTAGGTAGACACTGGAGAAGCCAAGCAGACAGACCCCCATGCAAGAAGGGGGAATGCAGATTTCATTTGCATTGAAGATGGGTAAAATGGACAAGGTTAATTTTTTTAAAGTTTCAATTAAAACATGGCTGGTATTTTTTTCACCTGACTCCAGCCTGATGTGGCAAGGTCAGCCCTTTCAGTGAACAAACAGCTCAGTCGCCGCCAGTGTAGCTGTTATCAGCAAGGGGAGATGCTTGGCACAGCCTAAAGCTGGGGCACGAACCCTGGCTAAGCTTAAGACATTTATCTGACAGCATCAGCCTGACACTCCACAAACACATTTGCTTTCCATGACCTCAGAGCATTCGTGATTAATCAAAAATGCATCTTGGATCTTGAGTACAAGCTACAAGCAGGCACACAAAAAAAGAAAATGCTCTCGATCTCACTTATTGACTCCAGAGGTACATTGAATTTAGAAATAGCAGATAGAATAAAATGATCAATATGTTCTCACTTGTCCATGCAAGAGCAAACTTTATCCCTCCAGCAATAAACATTGATCATGTAAATGTTTTAGAGCTGCTTTCAAGTACAGAGAGCAAAGGCATGAGGACTTTTGAGGAGGGGCATTACATGGAAAAGACATTGGTGTATGTGCACTAGCACTTGGCGAGGAAGTGTGCTGTTAAAAGCTATGGAGTGCAGCAATGCACCTGAGCCACCTCTACCACTGCGGCCGCTTCCACCAGTACATATTGTTAACATCCAGTTTGGGAAACACTGTGCCAAGTGATCTTAATAAAACATTATAGAAGATACTTTAAAACTTAATGAAGGCACATAATCTGCTTCAGAGAAAACTTTCTGCCTTAATTTAAATGAGACACAGTTACAACATATCCCCTATGCACTGTTTACAATTTATAATTTATGTCTCAGTTCAAATACATGACTTTCTGCAGTCATCTGCTAAGTTATATGATTAGCATTTGGATATTGTAATATTCTGCTTCTTGATACCAGAGTAATATGATGCAGTGCATTTGTATTTTAATACTTTCCTTTTTATTCACCAATAAGCATACCAAGCTCTAATTAGTTGAGATGAAAGAAATCATGCGCCCTACCCAGTCTAATTTGAAAATGGTTATATCTCTGTAAAAACTCTTCACCATTTCATTTATTAAATCCCACTCTTTTTTGGTTACCTACTGCTCAGCTATAAGTCTTTTGTGCTCATACTGCACCATCATTCTACTATAGCAAAACTACTGTATGTGCTTCAGTCCCTGTTGGCATGGCAAACAAACTTTCATTGCATGTGCTCTCAATAAAATGGTGGTACTAATTAGAAGATATAAACTCATGCTGAGACATGATATGAACTGGTGTTATGCATCTCTTAAGCTCACAGCAGTATTAGATTTATATAGTTGATGCCCTCAACTAATATTTAACTAGAAACATTCAATTCTTTAAAACTGCAGAAAAATGAAACAAAAGTGAAGGTACTTCATTAAAGCAATTCACAGATTCTCAGTAATTCACGCTCTACTTATCTCCACCTTTGTAAGTGGCAAACAAAAAAAAAGTCATTTCCCCACAGTAAAGACTGAGAAGAAGAATCGCGTAGTGAAAAAATATGCTAGTGTTACCTAGTGTCCATCCATTGTTTTTTCCAAGGACAGACCCCAAATGACATGGCAGTAGATAAGCAAACATCACCCCACCTTATGGAGAAGGTTCCCCAGACAGAGAGTTGATGTCCTTGGAGTCTGGAAGCAGCTATTAGCCTACGACCTGGACTGCTGCCATTAAAAGCCTTGTCCTCTGTTTAATTGTTACAAAAAGAAAAAGGAGGAAATTACTAGTCCACAAGGGCTAGGAAGCTACTCAGATATTCCAACTTCAGCTTGGTTCAAGACACTGCATAAATGTAGGTTCACAATGACCCCACTGCTCAAACTCTTGCAGCATGCACTATGGACTCTAGATATCACAGTTGTGTGTTCTGACATCCACGGTGAAAATGAGCAGAAAATCTGACTGTTCCATATCAAGAAATATTTTTCCTAGTGCTAATGTGCCTTAAATACCTTGTTCCACAGCTGAGTGGCCTGGCACCTGCTGCATGAGAAATAGTCAATTACTGTTCAGTGTCTCTAATTTTCTGATTCAATTAGCATGCTTCAGAGCTTTCCAGTTTAATTGCAAACTACTTCACAGTCAGATCTCTGATTAATCATAGCCCATCTGCAAGCCATCGCAAAACTTGGTGGAACAAATCTCTGTATGTTGGAATGCTGGGAGCTTATAAAATCAAACTTGTTTTGGTATATAAATCTTTAATTTTGTTTGCCCTTTTCAGCTGCACTTTTAAGAAACTCTGTACTGATTAAATAGGAAGTCCAGACAATAATATGCCATATTATGCATATAATTACTGTAAACACAGATCTTTAATAGAAGGTAGAAGGTTAGGCGCTAACTGTAGAAGATTAGGTGCTAACATATAGGGAGTAGGGGGTCAAGAAAAGACATTTGCAATCAATTTCTCCCCCATTACAAAGAAAGGAGGTATTGGTGGAGGAGGGAGAAGGAGAGATATGAGATGGTGATGTAGTCCCATGCATGACTCTGGAGGTATTCCTGCAACACTACACAGAGCAGTACAATCGCCACATGCTATTTCTGATTTTATTTTCAAATAAGCTGTTAAATTCCCAAAACCTAAAAAGTTCAGAAAATTGTATTCAACTGCTTAAATTCCATATCTATACTTTATTGTACACTTTCAGCTTCAAGGTGAACACTGGCTGTTGGGCAGAATCATAATATAGCTCAATTGTCAGGGAGGTGCTGTGTTTCACTACACTCACAACAGTAACACCCACTGAACCAACACAGGTTACCTATTTTATTGAGGCACGCATTTACCTCTCTTATTCAGGTTCACATACATTTCCTGTCCAGAAGACTTGATTTAAAAAGTAGCAGCATATCACACAGCAGGGAATTAGCAATTCTATTACAAATGAATTAATTTGCACATATTAAAGTATAAACCCAATTGAAGCTAACGGACTCGAAAATTTTGCTTCCAACCCCCACAACATTTCAGCATGCATTAAATTCAATATGATGTAACAGTGCTCAGTTTCCTGCAGCATCCTGTCTTGAGAACTTCCCTGAACTGAGGCTACTGTGAACATTTTGTTGCAAAATACCATCACTTAAGAACATGTTAATCTCCATCATAATTTTAGTAATTCCAGGTTAATAAGAGAAGTCCTAATAAACCCTAAGAAAAATGTGAATCAGCTCATTAACTTCTCTAGTCATCAAAGAAGATTCAAACATTGCAAAATCACAATAATGATGTTTGGATGATACCTAGTGACAAACGCCAAGGAGCCATACCTCCTACACTCTGGCAGAAACAAAACTGCATTACTGACACAAGAAAGAATAATTACCTAAAGCTGTATTATTGATCATAAAGATGATGCCACCATGCCAAAGCTGGAATTTGGACTTCTTCTTCAAGGTCTTTAGATGCTTGTTAGGATTTCCAAAATATATTTAAAATATATTTAAAAACGATGTAGTTAAAACACTGCCTGCGCACCCATCTAGCTGAATGAAAAACCTTACAAAAATTGATCAGAAATTACTGAGGTGAGCATTGACACCAAATAAGTGTGTTTGCAAACATCTGAATGCTGGAGACACAAAACAGGTCTCTGAAGAACTTTCCCATGTTTTTGTCATTTTCCCAACATTTTTCTATGCCAGGCGAGGTAAATATATTACCTTCCAAGAGTAATCTACATAAATAAATGAACCTATGTAACACAATGAACAATATAAACAATGCAAACACAAGATACAATCTTTCATGGTGTGACATGCCAGTTCAGTATTTCTGTGTATGTTAGTTAGTGTACTTGACTAGGGTGATGAAGCACATGTAGCAAATCCAGATTACAAATTTAAGATGAATTTCAAATAATGCTGAAGAACATGCTACTCAGGGAAAAAAAGAACTGAGCTTTGCTAATCTGAGAAAAAAAGTTATAGGATTTTTGCATATTTTTCCGATTCAGCTTGTGTTTCTGAAGTCACTGCAGCCTGTATTATCTTATTTTAAATGAATCACAAGATTGTCAAATTGAACTCCTCTATTATGACCAGTCTGGCATACACAGAATTCAGAAACAAAGACAAAAAAATGTGATGTTTTCAACATTTCCAAGAGAGTGACGCCCCTACATCTGCACAACATTGCTGAAAGTCTTAGCCCCACAATGCCCACTAATATCAAGGCAAGTTACACAGCTAAAGCCTGATAATTGACTCAATTTATACTCAGTTTAGTGAGTGGGAACCTGATCCTAGGGTTCTGTGGCCAGGTTACCTCAGCAGTCCAGCATGCAGGGCTGCGTTCTTCCCATCACCCCCTTGACAGCTTACTTGTGTTTAAACCCAATTTGTAACTGCCTTCCCAAGTGAGCTGGTTTCCCATTCTGCTTCTTTAGTCTGAATCATAAGAAGAACAAGTGATGTTAAAGTGCTTAATGCCTCTGTCTCAGATGTAGAAAAGTCTGTAGGCACAGATACTTGACCGTCATGATCTCCTGGACCACCTCATGGAGGCTCAGCAAAGACTGCACAATACTCGTGTCTGGTGAAACCAAGGTACACAGCCATAAATCGTATTGCCTGGCCCTGTCTGAGTTACAGCTGATCCTGAGAAGCTTTGCTGGGGTGTGAAACGCCAATCTGCAGACTGCCAACTCTGATGCTTAGCCCCTGTCTTTCTTATGAACATTTCCAGCGAAGCAGGTAACTTTCCTGGTGTAGCTGTTTGGGTTCTTTGTTCTGGAAAATTGTGCAATCATCTTATGAAGTATTTACTGAGTTTTGGAACCACAAAATTCAAAAACCCAATTGAAAACAATTATTAGAAAAAACACATTACTTCATTTAATAGAGGCAGATTATGAAAGAAACTGTAGCTGTTTCACTACCACAGGTACAATGAATTTGTACTGGCTGCCAGAGTCAGCACCGACATTGTTTTTAATGGCAAACATCTCTACCTTGCAGCGTCACCTCTGTCCTGCTGGAATTACCACCCCAAGGGGACCAGGGGGAGTGGGGAGTGGACAGCAAAACAGCGCATACATGCTGGCATTGAATATGGGAAAAAGTTCTTAATCTCTGTGCTCTTAAGGTCCTACTACAAGTAACATCAAGTCACCTCTGGCTTCCAAACTCACTTGTGATCCTGCCAAAGGACCTTTGATGCACTTACTGATTTTCCTTTCCACTTAATTCATGCTGGCGACACGGCATAACTACCAAGAATACTTCACTCCACTTAATTCTGGCTCTTTTAAACTTTTCCTATGGTACTTTGTGTTTCTTTTTTCTTTTTTAAGCACAACTTCTGCAGTTTATAAAAACTGAATTATTTAAAACAGGTTTAAGAAAAAAAATTGCATTCCTGTTGGATTTCTTGATTTAGCTTGCTCTATTGAAGCAATGTACAAAAGCTCAAACTTTTGTATTTTTTTCTGTTTTGAGTTGAACAGGGTTGGAACAGCCACAAAAACAAGTGGAGGAATATATTATTATTTTTACTCCCTTTTAAAATTCTTTCATTTTCCTCATTAAGAGAACATGAAATTTTAATTACCAGAAGCTCTGCTTACCTTTTTCACTATCCCTGCCTAAACATATCCAATCTCTGCTTCTGATATTTATGAAAGATAAAATATATTTCTTACTAATCACGTTAACAAGTTTAAAGCTACAAGGCAGAGAAATTTTTACAAAGGAAGATTTTATCTTCCATTAGTTCTTTGTTCTTAGGAAACACTCCTCATCCTTCTACTGTCTTCTAAAAATTACAGAATAAAGATGCGCATCCAGCATTCTAGGCTGCAAAACTGGTAAATATGGAAAACAATATTCCAAAGTGTTATTTTAGTATTTACTTATGAAACAACAACAACAACAACAACAACAACAACAACAACAACAAAAACAACTAACCAAAAAACTATAAAAAAATACCAGAAAAGTGAAATCTATTCCAGTCAAGGTGAAATAAGGAGGATGCTCCAAAATCTGCCCAAAACTGATCCTGCACAGTGGTGCAGGGTTGCATGCAGTGCAGGGACAGGCAGGTTACCACATCATCCCTTCTGCCTGTGGCTGGGCTGACACCAGCAGAGGGGCTGGGCTGCTACCACCATCTCTCTGTCCTAACTCAGTGGCTGGAGTAATTTGGAGGATGTTAATTATCCAGAAACTGCATGACTTCAAGAGTAACTACAGGGGTACCTTGTCAACGACAAGACCTTATTAACAAGTTTACTGAGAGATTTTAGACTTCATTACTAGTTGTTCCCAAAAGGTGTTGGTCCATCAAAACTCCAGCAGGATACAGCAACCTGCCTCTTGTCTGACTTCTTTAGTTAAGATGATACATCAGCTACTGATACTGACTCTATTAGATTTCTGCTGAACTCCATACTACAATGGCATATTTACTAGCATTTTGATCCAAGCAGACCACTGAAGCTTAGTCCAATTTATTTCTGGCCAGGTATAGGCAAAGCCAAAAATTAGAAAAAAAAAAAAAAATCAGAAAATGTCCACAGATGCCTTTGTAATACTAAAACACAAATACATTTTCTATTTCCCATATTATCACAGGCACTGAATTATCAGCACATGTTATTGTACACTTCTAAAATATTTATACAGATCAGGTGAAAATATATTTCACTCAACAGCCTGCATATTGCAGTACCCATTTT